AATCATAGAATCATAGAATGGTTTGGGTTGGAAGGGACCTTAAAGATCTAGTTCCAACCCCCCTGCCATGGGCAGGGACACCTCGCGCTAGAGCAGGTTGTTCAAATCCCCATCCATCCTGGCCTTGAACACCTCCAGTGATGTGTCATCCACGACCTCCCTGGGCAACCTGTTCCAGTGCCTCACCACCCTCACTGTAAAGAATTTCTTCCTAGTATCTAACCTAAATCTCCCCTCCACCAGCTTAAAACCATTGCCCCTTGTCCTGTCGCTACTCTTCTTTGTAAAGAGTCCCTCTCCGGCTCTTCTGTAGGCAACTTCATCCCGTTGGTCTCAGCCCATCGATCCAGCCTGTCCAGATCTCTCTGCAAAGCCTCTCTACCCTCCAGCAGGTCGACACTGCCACCCAGCTTGGTGTCGTCTGCGAACTTACTGAGGGTGCACTCGATAAGCATTTTACAGAGGTCCTGGTAGTGTCCTTAAACGAGGGTTCTTCACCCGGTGGGCAAGAGCCCGTCGAGGTACTTGGTTTTATTGCAATGCGGCAGAACGGGGCACCGAGCATCTGACAGCCACCAGCACACCTCACGTTTCAAACCGCCCAATATTTATAAGGATAAAATACATCTGGTTGGTCAAAAATGGCTCTTTCAACACCAGTAACTCTGCACATGCATCTAAGCTTATGTTTGAGACACCTGGGGGGTGGGGTTACCTGATTAGCGTGCTCATTATTCACCAACGAGTATTTTCGCGTTATGCAGGGTTAGTTTTGGAGACACTCTTGGTTCATCTTTAAAGTTTTGGGGTTTTTTTGTGGTCATAGACAAGTCTAAAGTCAGCAGCCGCAACAGAACACGTAAGACACGCTGCTTGGTTTCGTGTCCTGCTGACGATCAGATAGGTGCCTTGGTGCCCCAACCATGTCATAGAATCATAGAATCATTTAGGTTGGAAAAGACCCTTGGGATCATCGAGTCCAACCATCTACCCAACTCTACAAAGTTCTCCCTTACACCGTATCCCCCAACACCACATCTAAATGACAAACACATCCAGGGATGGTGACTCAACCACCTCCCTGGGCAGCCTGTTCCAACGCCCTACCACTCTCTCTGTGAAAAACCCTTTCCTAATGTTCAGTTTAAACCTACCCTGTTGTAGCTTGAAGCCTTCCCTCTTCTTGATATACTTTTAACTTTGACTTTGGACACCTCTGGTGCCCAGGGGTGTTACTCCCCACTCCGTCATACCGCCAACGCATGAGCTGTGTGAAACTCGCAGATTTGGCTGAAATGGAAAAAATGGGCTAAAAGACAACAGGAGAAGCAAACAGAGGAACGGGCAGCATGACTGAGTAAACCTTGTTTACCTAGGAAGCCAACTGAAAATATTAAAAAACTCTGCACAAGACTTCTGAACGTGGCTGTAAAGGTTTATAAGATGTGGCCCAAAGGGTTAATTAGCGTACGGTCATAAATTATGGTAGGCTCAAAAGGCAGGTGGGAAAAAGCTGAAAAACTTTGAGGTACTGTAAAAAAATGTTGCCTGTGTTGAAGTGAGGGGATTTTATTCATTAACTTCAATAGGGCCAGGATTTCATCCAGGACATCTGAAAAGATGATGTCTGTTTAAATAGACTCAAATGGCCTTAAAAACCAACTTCAGGGAAAAGGCAGTGACAAATTTGGCTGTATTCCAACGAGAATTTTAAAGCAGAGAATTCCTGGCTGAGACTTTGACAACATTCATACTATACCTCTTACCACAAGTTGGACTCACAGTGGCTGTTATGAAAGGCAGCTACATTTTTTCGAGCTGTTGTTCTGGGGTGAAATATAATAGCATTCAACAAATACATCTGGTTTTCTGTACTCTTGTAAAACATGAAAAGACAATATTCTTGCAAGAAATTTATTTAGCTGGAAAAGAAGAATGAGTGTTTCACTCCATGCTGAAATAATGTAACTTCTTGTTCTAGGAAATCTCCCCCAAGAGCAGAATTTTATAAAGTTTGTTCAGTCAAAACGAGCAGGGGCGACTGGAAGTCTAGACAATTGCTTACTTATTTTAAAAATAATTTCCATCTGATATAGATATTGGATGCACCACTCAGGTTTGCTGCCAATTCTCTGGTTTTGTAATCATATGGACCTAGTTTAAAGTGTTTTCCTTCACTCTTTGCTGCATCAAATGAATAGTCAAAATGAATAGTCAAAAAACAATGACCATTAACAACTTCACAGGGCAGGATCCTGAGTGACCTGCTCCAGCTGGACCTGCTTCAAACAGAAGCTTTGACATGAGACCTTGAAGGTTTCTTCTACTCTGTATTATTCTGTGATCAATGAAAGAAAGAAAAGAAAGCGCCTGATTGGAATTAATTAAGCTAACCTGACAAGGTGCTGTCAAGTGCAAAATTAAATATTTTTTCCCAATACCTTTTCTGTTCCTAGAAAGAAATTATATAAACTTGTGGCTTCTCATACATCCATTCATTTATTATTGTTTTGTGTTTGCATCTGTGATCCAGTTTTCCAATGGGAATAATAGTTTGTTTCACTGAGCTAATGACATTACACATTTTAATGTATTTTATCAGTTCTCTTAACTATCCATCTAGCTGAGATGTAATTGTTACCTGTATTTTGGCTCAAAATATTCCACTCAGACATGCAAATGAATGTTTTATGGGCTTTTGGATTAACGTGCTCACATCCTATGACAAAATCTTAGGCATCAGTGACTGGGACTTGAGAGCATTTAGCTGCTAATGACAGGTACGAACCTTACAACAGTCTTGAAAACATCAGTCTCCCCTACTTTGCATTTCCAGAAATTGAACTGTGTGTTCTGTTCTTTTACAAAGACCAAACAAGCCTTCACGTTATTTGATTTTGGTTTGTTTTACAGACTTTTCTCATCACCTGGCCCCTCAGTTAGAATTCACTTAGACTCTGCTTTTTAAAATATTTCTATGGTTATCAGGTGAAAGTGATTATATAGAGCATGAAAATGATGTAAAGTTAGGAACTACAGAATACCTTCTACACAAGATTGATTGAGCACTGTGATAAATTGCATGAGAACATCGAATAACCTCTTTCATTAGAGGTTTTAAAACACAGAGACAAGCATCTGTCATGAAAAATGGGTAGTAAATATGTAGAAAGTAAGTAAAGCTGATCCAGCATTGAAGACTACAGGCTTTCAAGATCCTACCAGAGACTGTTTTCTTTGAGTGTATTGTTTTCTTTTTTCTGTGGCTCCTTTTGATCCACTTTTTATTCCATAGCCTCTTACGTGCAATGCCATTCTGTCTACACTCAAGCCTTTCCTTTTTCTGCCATCTTCAGCTCTGTTATTTGTCCTTACTTCTGAAGGTACACACACAAAAAATGTCAAACTCCTTCAAGATGTGATCGTACAATATCCCTGACAGTATTTATGAAATAAATAATTGTCCTATAACTCAATGAAAATAAACCAATAATGTTTTACATAAATTTTCACTTGCAACTTGCAAGTGGCTTAAGCAATTGAAATTAGCAAACTAAATGGACGAGAAGCTGGACATGAGCAGGCAGTGTGCACTTGCAGCCCAGAAGGCCAATCGCATCCTGGGCTGCATCAAAAGATGCGTTGCCAGCAGGTCCAGAGAGGTGATTCTGCCGCTTTGCTCTGCTCTGGTGAGACCTCACCTGGAGTACTGTGTGCGGGTCTGGAGCCCTCAGTATAGGAAAGATATGGACCTGATGGAGCAGGTCCAGAGGAGGGCCACGAGGATGATCAGGGGGATGGAGCACCTCTGCTACGAGGACAGGCTGAGGGAGCTGGGGCTGTTCAGCCTGGAGAAGAGGAGGCTCCAGGGAGACCTAATAGCTGCCTTCCAGTACCTGAGGGGGGGGCTACAGGAAGGCTGGGGAGAGCCTGTTTACAAAGGCCTGTAGTGACAGGACGAGGGGCGATGGCTTTAAGCTGGAGGGGAACAGATTTAGACTGGAGATTAGGAGAGGGTTCTTCACTGTGAGGGTGGTGGGGCACTGGAACAGGTTGCCCAGGGAGGTGGTTGAGGCCCCATCCCTGGAGATATTCAAGGAGAGGCTCGACGAGGCCCTGGGCAACCTGGTCTAGTTGGGGGTGTCCCTGCTGACTGCGGGGGGGTCAGACTAGATGACCTTTGGAGGTCCCTTCCGGCCTGGACGATTCTATGATTCTATGAAATCTGTGTGGCAGGGATTGTATATGCCTTTTACCTAGTGTTAAATAGCTCAACTTTTGAATCTGGTTGAAAAAATAATTCTTTTTTGTAAAGTGCATTCTAAGTGTTTTATTTAAATTATGTCTATCAGAAATAACTTTTGTCATTACGAAACAATCTGCTGTTCTTTCTGTATCATTATTTGCGTTCCACTGAATGAGTAATCTCATTAAAATCACCAAGACTACTTGGATTGTGCTTGGAGAGAGTAAGGGCAGGGGACTGTTAGTTTATTGGTTCCATATGCACGTTTATTGTTTGCTATTTTGTATTTATATGTGAACATTCACTATTACATCTAGCTGTGTGAAGGGAGTCCAATTATTTGGGTGACACAGTGCTTTCACAATGGGAATCAGGCCTGCATAGCCTGCTTCAGTAATCAAAAGCAGCTGTGAGCAGACAGGAGATTCAGCTGTGAAGAACAGGCCTTAATTTATCCCATTATAACACAAACAGATGTGATCCTGTCAAGGGACCAGCATTGCTACCTTTGCACCTGAGCGGAAGTGGAAGCAGGGGCAGGCCAAAGGAGAAAAGATGCATTGCTTGCTGCAAATGATAGGACAGGTAATTTTTTCTGTGATTCATGCCTAGATTACAAATTAGGCTTAATGAAATGTAAATACCATGTTCTAACTAATGTCCAAAGTTACAGTTAGCTCAGACTTGATACATCTCTTTTCCAAACAGAAAGGGATCCAATGAAATAGTCTATTGAAACATGCATAATTAATTTTTAAATGTTTTCAGGTCATGAACAGTAACTCAATAGAGCTGCAGCAACTGTAATGCTTTTAGTGCAGAAATTTATCCACAGCATATTTAAATATTTATCTAGAAAGTATCAGTCTATATTTCTTTAGTCGAGCTCTTCTGGTTTTCCCACTGAAGTGAATCAAATCTTATTCTACTCTATTGTGGATGTATATAGATAGTTCAGTTGTGCTTTATAGGAGGTGTTAAAAGGATCATGAAAATTGTCTGGAAAAGAGTTCAAAGTGTATTGTTTTTCTCTTTTTGAAATGCCTTTCTGTGTTTGTATGAATCACAGAGGCTGGCAAATATTAACAGTAGAGCTCTCACCTTGACAGATGCTAGCACATACTAGTGTAAGTTCAGCAGCAGCATGGACTTAACTCTTCTCCAACAGGGGCAATGGAATTGAATGGCACCTCACCGTATGCACAAGTTCATTTTAAACCAGGAGGGACAGTTCAGTGGTCTCGGATTATGACTGAAATATCTAGACTTTTTGGAACCACAGATCTGACTTCTCCCAGAGCTAACAGTCCTTCATCATTTTTAAGGCACAGTAGGTAAACTGAGTATCATGCAATGTACTGCAGTTAACTAACGTTAATCAGGAACCCTGTCACACTTTCTTACACAGTTTGGGAGCTTACTTTGGGGAAAAAAAAAAATCTCTGTTTTCTTTCTGTTGTTTTAAAGTACTATAATCTGTTGTATCGCTAGTCAATGAATCTGAGGTGCTATGTTAATGTGATGGTAGATTAGTAATCACAGAGCCTTTACATAAAAGGACTTATATAAATCATTCTAAGTTTTCCTTGTGGAACTTTGCATGAAGGATTTACAAACACTGAGCAAGAGAGAAGTCAGCATGCTTTCACCCATTTATTAGCATGGAAACAGAGACAGGCATGGGAGCGGTGGCCTTGCGACAGCTGACTGCCTGCTCAGCCCTGTAACCCCACACAGCTTTCTGCCTTCTTACTCAGAACTCCCTTGGCTTAACCCATCTGACAAAGCGTCAGGTTGTTCTTTGTGTTAACATCTTTGTGTGTGTGCATCTTAAAAGTCATTATCTAATGGCCTTCACTTTCCTTGTGGCCTCTTCTGAGCCACATGATGATAATTTTATTAATATTTCCTTTAAATTGGCTGTTGTTTCAGGAGCAGCTGTAAGTATCCAATACAATATGCAAGAACAGCTATTGATTGTGGTTTTTTTTTTTCTTCAGAGCTGTGACAACTTCTCATATCAAGAAATATAGACAAATCATTAAATAAGAAGTGTCTTCAGTGACAACTTTCTGGCTTTAAGTCCAAGGGAGTGCAACAATGGCAAACAACAAGATGCTGTGCATAGCTCTTCTGGGTTTTTTTTCTGAGTTTTCAAGATTGTCAATAGCACAAGATGCACAGTGGAATTCCTGGAATTGAGAGCATCCCAACAGGACTGTGCCCAAGCACATAGGAGGTTAGTAGAGAAAGAACAGTCTTTGCCTACACAAAAGTCATACAGGGGCACATGAATAATTTCCTTGAGATTGAATTCAGTGTAGTAATAACATCTAAGAAAGCAGAGGGTGAATATCTCCTTCCAGATAGATACGGATTGTAAACAAGGCAAATAACAGTGGAAGGCACAATGAATTCAAACTAAACAAACTGAATCCATTTTCAGCCAGGAGAATGAGATGGTATCTTAGCTAGGCTATGGTTTAATATATGTATCTGTGCTTTCGTCTTTCCTTAAGCCACAGTGGGAACACTCGTAGCCATGACCGGAGCAGCCTGTGGACAAGGAAAAGACAGGCAAAGTTAACTGTCAGTGTCACAAACTGTTGAATGTGCATAATCCAGAGTGGATAAGAGAGAAGAAGGACGTTATGGAATAGTTAATTGATCTGCTTCCCCTTATTTTAAAAATAAGCTTTTTGAAGCAAACATTCCATAGGGAAAAAATGCATTCTGTTGAGCCTGACATCTTATGAGGTAAAAAAATGATCTAGTGTCATCTGGGGAGCAGCCAATTTCATAAGAGACTAATAAAAATTCTCTGCCTTTTCTGGTAAGGGATTTTATTTAACGGCACAATGTCATGCAGTGTGGCATTGTGTAAGTGCCTAACAAAAACTATCAGATATGGGCACTCTATTGTTATTCCTATACACATGAACCAACCACTAAGTTTCACAATCAGTATAAATATATGTATGACACTGGTCTTTTCCCTTCTCATTTCCCCCTCCTCCCCTCCATGTACGACTGCCCTAATAGGGATTATACTTGTGCACTGTCAGCTGCTTGTTTGGAATTGGGGAAAAGTTAGCAGGATCACTGCAATGATAGTCATTGTCAAATCACAGCAGAAATGCCTCTGCAACATCCTCACATTTCATTATCGTTATCTTGGCTCTCACTTCTGTTTTTCAGGTTTTGTGCTATATTTACAAGATTGCACTAAGTGTGTTTGTGATGGACTTCTGTTAGATTGTGACAGAGGCATGGTCCATGTTAAAAACCACAAGTTAACAACAATTAATTCAGTAATAAGATTCTGAAGATTTACAGTAATCTGGATTTAATCACATTACTCAAAAAAATTAACATGGAGCCTTACCACATGAATCCACTTGAGAAACTATTTGGAGTTTTGCCTTTAAGCAGAAAGGAAGTGAAGCTAATTCAAAGCTGTCTATTTCAGAGCTTGAGGTTATTTCAAAGAAAGGCTGCCATCTTCCTGTCTGTTCTTGAAGAGCTGTTTATTCAATGAAGAGCTGTGTATTCAACCAAGTCCAGAATGAGTCTGTAGCACACCTGGAACAAGAAACCAATCCCTGACTATATTGGCAGGATTTCCACTTACCTTAAGAAATATAGCTCAGGGATAATGTGGGCTATTTGGACTCCCAGCACAAGTCAAAGGATAGTTCTGGACCAGTAAGTTGTATGAGAGAAGAGGACCAGATCCAACTGCCAGAGTGTTTTAACCATCATAGCAATTATTTCTGGGTGTTTTTGTGCTACAAGCTTAAGTACTGATGTATCATTAGTTGAGAGGAGCAACAAATCTTTCTGAGGTATCAAGTAAGAAGGAGATTGCCGTGTTAAGGCATTCTTGACATCTGTTCCAGGAAGTTTCTTCTACTGGGAGATATCTCTGCCGTGGAGCAGGAGGTCTTTTTCCACAGCAAATGGCCTCTTGTAGGAGAAAAGTGTGCTGCCACACTCAAAATTGGGAGAGTTTCCTCAAAACCAACGAGCACTGGGCCCAGGAAATAATTCCATCACTAGCAGCATTTTCCTGGAGAACGCCTGCGGCAGTCTGCAGCCTTCCCTCCATCAAGATCCTCAAAAAGGGTGAGAAACTCTACGTCATAAGAAGACTGGGTGTAAGTTATGGTATTGGAAACCTGCCATGTCTTGTGTGAAAATGAAGCTCCTGGAACTGAAGAGACTTTTCTGTCCAGAGGCGAAAATATCTGATCTGCTTACCTCTAGCTGTATAATGAATGACTGATCCAGGTTGAGTGTGCCATATACTGTAATAAAAAATAAAAATAAAAAAAAAAAGTATTGCTGCCTGAATATGATGGTTTCAGTCTTGCAGCCTGGGCAGCAAGAAAGAACTGCAGAGTCGTTTCCACTCTTGTCTGCTTTATACTCATGGAAAGTAGCGACCTAGTTTCAGAGAACAATGTTATCTCAAATGACACCTGCCTCATCTGTACAAGACATCAACACATAAGAAGGAAAAGACACTTGTAGAAACATTCACAAAAGAGAGAGCTGTGTCACACATCTGAGCAAATGAACAAGCAGAGAAATCAGCAAGAAAATAAGCTTATTACAAGTAATATAGTTCAACTTCCCAGGGTAAGAAAAATGTCTTCCCACTGCAGTCCAGACACCTCCTGTTTTAAAAAGTCAAGATTTAGAGAGGACTGATTAGATGCCTCAGTAAAGCTTGCAAAGCTGAGGAAGAATGAAATACATACTTTTACTTAATGGGAAAGATTAAAGCTTGCTGGGTAGACAGCAATAAAGAAGCACAGGCACCACTGCCAGGCACTTCACTAGAGACAATTCATAAAGCCAAGATCTGCTTTAATGTGAAGATAGTTTTTGTGCCTGAGCAAATATCTTCTATCAGAAGAAAATCAATCAGGGATAGAAAATGGCAACGTGCTAATCACATTGCCAGCTTCAGTCTCAATTGTATCATAAACCCATTTCCTGTTGCAGCGACATTCTGGTCCACATTTGTTTGAATTGCATTTGGGGCAAGGATAGAAGCAACCCAGGCAGTTCTTTTCCAGGCAGTCACACAAATCGATGTTATTACAAAGCAGCCTGCCATGTTTGTCATACTTCTTTGTACTTCTGTGAAAGAGAAGAAAAAGTGATTCTCAGAGAATGCTTCAACGTGTTCAAAGACTAAACCAAATGTAGCAAACATTTGTCTAGGAACCAATATTTCTCTTTAACAACCTCACATCATAATGACATACCAGCATTATATCCTAATTGCAACAGCCACCGTTATTAAAAATTAAAGTATGCCAAAGAAGTTAATCATAGTACTATTCAGTCACACAGAAAAAGCTTGTTTTCCTAGCATAGCTTTCCTATGCAGTAAAAAATTTACCTGCAAGATATTAATGCTTTTATTAATTTCATTTATATTCAGTAAATAGCATACCAGCCACTTTTTGAAGGAAAATATGCAATAAATTAGTACATCTTACTTGGGCTTATAAAAAAAATCTTGTTTCATCTGTGACATGCGTGCTTTCTTTTTCTGCTGTCTCGTTTCAGGATTGAAGTCAGCTACCTGAGGTCCTGGATTTTGAAAGGCTAAGGATTTTAATTGTTTTTCAAGTTGTTGCTATAAATAAACAACAGAAAGTTTCTGATTAGTACAGTTGGAACACATATTTATTAGCTGCCAAGTGTCCTCACTGCCTTTCAAATAACATTAAAATTAATATTCATATTCTTGGGAACTTAACACAGGTAGGAAAATAAAGCAAAACTCGCCCTAAATTAAGATAATGTTGTTTAACACGTTTGCTTGTCTAACTGTTAATTGAGTATTTGTTTGACAGATTTTGCATCCTGACAAGAGAGGCAACAACCATGACTCTGAAGGCATGACTCTTATACAGTGGCATGGAGTTTGAAAGTTGTCTTGTGAAAGACAGAACTTTTTTTTTTTCCTTCAACTTCATCCATAACGTAAAAACAATTACTATGATTATAAGCATGTAAAGTGGATTCGCCCTCATCTTCACTGTTCCCTCAGATGTCTAGGACCCCTCTTTCTCCAAATAATCTGGGGGGGCAAAAGAAGTGTCTGGAGGAGCAACTACTGCAAGAAGGAAGCTTTTGCACAAGTGAAGAATATAAAAAACCACATGCAAAAATAAATAGGCTAAACTCAGCAGTTTTTGAGAAATAGGCAGGAGCATTTTCTCGCCTGTTTTATGGAAGTTATGCTTTCAATTAGCTAAAACTGCTGAATATTTTTGGAGGTTAAAACATCAGCGCTGTGTATTGCTATTCCACATAGCCTGTGTATGTTGACAGTCATGTCTAAAGTCAGTGTGAACAAACATGGGCATTGTGTCAAGCAATTTGTCTTTGGACAATGACTGTGGACGTTGAACATACACTTTCATATAAGCAAAGGCACAAACATACATGCAAATATATCTCTTCTCCTCTTAGGCAAATGGGTCTGACTCGCAGCTCCTCAGCTCCCCTGGAGGATGCCATTCCTTTCAGAGCCCACAGTGACTTTTCACAAACGAGTGCCTTCATTGCTTCTCATGGGGGAAGCAGAGGCAGTTCAGCCCAATCTGCTGATACAGTGATTTAGAAATATCCATGCACTTGATTGCATTTATTTACAAGGTGGTTGATGCTGTGCATCTTCAGTTACATCCTCCTGAAAACCTACAGGGCAATTTCATGCACCTACGTTATTCAGACAGTTCTGCTTTTGAGTCTATGGGAGACTTTCAGTGCAGAAAATATTCTTCAGCATCATCATTGTATGATCATAAATTATGCAGTTTCGACTTGGAAACAAATAATAAGCCATAGAGATAGTCCTCCCTCTAAGAATACTCTCCTATTTCCCTACTTACTACTTCATTTGAGCTCAGAAGTGCTCTTGACCCTCTAAATCCCTGCACTGCAAACTTGACCCATTTCACTGTTGCTATTACTGATATTTCCCTATTGACTCCAGCCTTTTCTTTTTGTAATTGTGGAAGAAATTGAAGACAATGGTAAGTATGTTGGTAATAAAATGGTACTGGAGAAGTCATACCAATTGTTTTTGTGTTATTGAGCAGTCATTAGCGGGAGAGACATTTCCTTCTGCAGATGTTACCTGGGCAGAAATGCTTTTCTTGCCATTTTCTTCTGTGTGATCACTCATTTGGCCACCTTTGTGAAATACATACATACGTATGTGTTAGACATATACGGAAGTGTGACATCCACAGACTTTCAACTAAAGGTTTTAAGGTGAGCAGGTGATATCCATAATAGGCTTTTATGTATTCTTAACCAACAGCAAATACAGAAAAAAATGTGGCTCAGTATTACTTTCAATTTTAAAGAGGTATTAAAATAATATAACTAACATAAACAAAAGTTGTATCACCAAAGCCATTCTGTAAGAAAACCCCGGAAGATCTCTAGTGTTCTAGTGTTTAAATGACAGAGAAATTTAAGGAAATGCTGTCGTGTATGTTACTGCCACCTCTTCACCGCATCGACACGTGCTTGATGTGAAGGTGAGAAGCAGAATTCTTGCAGAATACACAAAAGCAACGGGGGATGTGCAGTGGAAATTAAGGCGGCAGCGCTCAGGAGCAATCATTTCTCTTACCAGCAGGTGACATTGTTGTCCTGGCTGCGCTGCTCCTCGCAGGGCTCAAAAAAGGGGCAGCCGAGGGGTGTGGAGGAGGGAAGCGGGGACAAGAGGGGCCTGAGCGTATTCTCTGGTGCTATTCACAGGCACCCAAAGCCTGTGTAGGAGCTGTGCCCGCAGAAACCAGGCTGATCCCTACAGACTGACGATTTCTTCCTGAAGACTTCAACCAACGGACTAAAAGTAAACTTCTTGGCTTTTAAACCTCAGTCCTCCGCTTTGTGAATGATTTTGTGTATAAATCGGAGGTGTAACTCTTAGGTTTAACAGAAGAAAAGTGCATCGCTCGTTCTGCTAGCAAAGCACTCAGGGAGGGTTCTGGGTTCTGTGGGTCTGTCCTACAAATGGCATCCGTCACCTGTCCCCCAGCACACAGAAATGGTGCTGGCAACTGTTCAGGATGGATGCTAGCTACTTCTTCTTACCCATCCTGTGAAGCTACTTAGTTAAAACTTTTTGTGCAATATGTGCAGTTCCAGTGGCTCAGACTTAAACCCCAAAAATCACCAGAAATATTTGAGCTTTTTCAGAGTTTCTCCAACCCTTCCCCAGCTGCTGCCCAGTCTTTCCCATTGACTCTGAAAGGTAGTGCAGTTACCCTGCACGTCAGGATTGTTTCCCAAACCCTCTCAAAGAGAAGATCTTCATTTCACCACTGCCAAAAAGGCCAGCACCTCTCTGAGAGGAGCAGGAGAGGAGTCCAGGCCTTGAGTCCGCACTGTTGCAGCCCCTTCGTGCAGGCCGACAGTCAAAGTGGGAAAAGCAATGAGAAGGAAGGGACCTTGTGAGGGTCCCCAGCAGGAGGGGACGCTGTTTTGAGAAGTGGAAAGAACAGCCTTCGTCCCGTTTTGGAGAAGATTTCACTTTCTCCTCTTTGGTGACCTGAAGAACGACCGAGATTATGACACTGTTCAGAACGGGAAGCTGTACAGCAACAGCTTTAGTCCTGGGACTAGGACTTTCTAGGATTACAAAAATAAATCTATTACCAGGCAATTAATATTTGCTGTATGGGAGACGCTGCTTTCCTAGTAGGGAAATTTGCTAGGGACCCACAAATAAAACAAGAATGAAGACCACTGCTCCAGAGAAAGTGAGATTGCTCTTCATTTGCACTCAAGTTGGGGCCCTAATAAGGATTTGCTTCCTCCATCTCCTCTTGTGTCCAACCATGCATCCAGCATTGTTAAAACACTTTATGAGTATTCACAACCATCATCCGTGTGTTCCAGTCTGAAGTAAAACAGAACCAACTTTCTGTTCAGTAATTTTGTATCTTAGCCAGGCCTCTTCTAACTCTCTGAAATCAACGGCGTGTCATGCAGAAAACTGCTCGTTCTCAGAGTGATAAGACCAATGTTTGTGCCACATGCCAAGGAATGGTATGCAGAGAGGCCCTTGCTCTTATCTCTTCCTCTCCTCTCTTTTTGGGGGGAGGGGAGGGAAGGGCCATCTGTCAGTCTGCTTTTGGTAAATGTGGCCAAAACCATGACACAGTGCCTGTTTTATTATAGTGTACATGGTTCAGGATCAGACCAGCCATCATCAGCTACCAGCGTAAGTGTGCAGAATTCCCACATGGCCTCTACTGTTGTAAATATTTGACTCCTTTAGAAACTAGGTCCTAGCAGTTATCTGGAGCCCAACACCCAAAATCAGAAGCCACTGTTTAAATACCAGCAGAAAAGAAACAACCCTCTTGTTCCAAACATATGCTTCAAATGCCCTTGCACCTCAGTGAAAGCGTCCTGCACAGAAAATATAGCACATTTCTGTCTCCATATACATTTTAAAGGTAAAGTGTTAAATTTTAATCTCCAGGAAAGACAGTCAAAAATGAAGCAGACTGTGACTAGGAAACTGTGCAAGATTCAGAAATTGTTGAGACTCATGGGACTGATTATCCTCCACAGCATGTTCTGAAGGGGGAGGGGGAACGAGGGAAAGTATGAGACTCAGACATCCACTCTCAAGTCTGCAGAACCTAATTATCCAAAGGAAAGTATTCCTGGTCCCGAAGCAGACCTTTTTCATATACTATTTTTGGTCTGGCTATAGTGACAATCCAGGGCCAATGCATTGAACACTAGTCTCTTCCATAAAAATTTCAACTCTGAGGACAACCATTAATTACACTCTTCCTCCACTGAAACCTGTGTTCTCCCACACCTTTTGAATACAGCAAGTAATTCCTGGAGGTGATCATCCACACACCTCAACATCCCACTGTGGCCATAGCGTGTGGCTGAGAACTGGCAATTTCAGCACAGACTCTTGGCACAGCTGACAAGGCTAAAAGCAGATTAAGGGAGGAAGAAAATCAGAGGCAGTGTTATATTAAAAGAGACTTGGTCTTATCCAAGAGACAGATGTTTCTGCTCAGATAACAGTTTCAGAAGATGTTGGGATTTGGAAAGAACTGCATTTGTTTATAATTTTCATAAAAGAAATATTTTCCTGTATCTGCTCTTTCAAGAATTTAATATTCCTATTTATGATCCTTGCAGATTGCACTGCTAAATAATTCAGCTGGTGTGAAATGTGGTGACCAGCATTCCAGATAGTTCAGGCTGCTTGATTTCAGCAGCCTAAAGCTAGCATCTCTGCAGGGCTTGCCAGAGTGAACACATATTCAAGTTGTGTTTGATCATGCCATTGCAAAATTTCTGGCTGAGGTCTGTAGGCATGGTCTTCACCTTTACCAGGGTAAGACAAGGTCTTTTCTCTATGGCTTTAATCCCACTATGGACACATGGATTAGACTGACCCATTGCAATAGTCCCCTCTTCCTCATAGCCTGCAGAGGTATCTGACGGCTCGGAAACCAGCAGTCAGGTTTGTGGCATGTTCGAGTATGCATCTTAAAATCTCTATGGGACAGCTGGTGCTAGCCAAATTAAGAATGAGCATAAATTAATCTTCCTCGGGATCAACTGTGGACTGAGCTGTAAAGATGTAGAAAATCCATTTACCAACTAGTCCATGCTTTCTCTCATAGCCTCAAATGTGCATGTGTATTCAGAAGACAGCCTTGAAGCCAGCCAGGTAACACAGACCAAATTAATAAATAAGTCTGATCTCCTGTAAGTAAGCTGGTTGCCCAGAAAACTGATAAACATGGTGACAGAGTAATGTCCCATTCTGTGACAGGAGTCAAAAGGAGCAAATCCTGCCCTCTGCCAGTGAAATAAAACAAATCCTCATGAGTTTTCCCTGCCAAACCCAGAGCCTATCTGCCAAAATTGGAAGTGAGGAATCCTTTAGCTGAAATCTAAGACAGAATAATAAAATCATGTGCACATTCTGGTTGTCATGCAATAGGCAAAAGAGATTTGCCAAACTTACCTTCTGAAAACCTGCAGTTTTGAAGGGAGTACATTCAGTTCAGAGCAGACAACAAGAAAGGAGATTCTCCAGAATTTTAGATTGTGCTTACCAAAGGAAGAGGCTGGCACAGTGAAGGTTTACTGCTGCACAATTCCTCTGATAGTGGAAGTATGACATCAGCCCCGGAGCGACTGAAACAGAAGACAAATAGTCAAAATAATGCTCCCCAGAGAAGCAGGCTGAAGACAGTGCCAGGTAACTGTCTTAAAGCACCTCACACTTTCTGTCTTATTAATTATGGCATTGAAGTAGTACTTAGCACAAAGAGTGGAAATAAAGAAATTATATAAACTAGGATGAGAGTCCTTATTTATTACTTGCATCTGTGGTATGTTTACAAAGCAAATAATGGGATTTTTTTTTCTTAAAGGTAAGTAAACAAAAACCTGTAATAACTGCTTTTAGACAAAACACTCTGGATTCTGTTAACGATCTCCAACAGTCTGAAGTCATCAAATAAATATGCTCCCCAAACGAACTCATAGTTCAGCTTGCCACCTTTCAGGATTGTTTGTTGTGCTAGTGGAGACAACTCAGGCTTTGCCTGATACCTCCAAATTCCAATTTCCAGTGCGCTGCAATCACTTATGGCTTTCATTACTCTTCCCTAGAACACAGCTAAATCCTAATAAATATCCAAAACTGTCAAATCTTATAAATTCTTGTGTTAGGCTCAGATAGATAGTGCAATGTGTCTTTTTATCTTCATCAGATGTATCCATCCATTCTCCGAGGTATTTCACAACCCAGTCTGAGGGCAAGTAAATTTGTGATTTACCATACTATTTTCTTTCTCTCCAAACACTTTTAAAACCAAAAGCTCATGTAACGTTCTAGCAGCAGGTGATTCTAGTTCTGGTGATTTAAATACTGCAAGACATACCTTCATTTTATTCCACAGACTGTTTTCCTTGTTGTGAAAAATAAAACAGAAATCCCTCAAGGGAAAGTCTCCAAGGCACTCATACAACAGCAAGCCACAAGCAAAAAACTACAACCTGTTTTATTCTCCAATATTTTTTGCAATTTTGTTCTGATTTCTCCATATTCTACATAATGGAGAAAACAGGAACTGTTAACTCTGTAAATACAAAACTTATAATTAAACCAACTTATGCTTAATATCTCCTTTTCTTTCATTTATCTAATAGTTATGCACGTGTAGCTGAACTTTTTCTGCATTGTTTGTGGATGGGTTATGATATTTGTTTATCATAGCATACATGACAATAAGTGGGTGCTAGGCTATGAGTAAGGATATATATGTAGATTAAAATCTTAGACAACATTTAGAGAGGTTGATTCTAGTGGTGAAACTCCTAATGGTTCCTACAGGGAAAAGTCTTCCCCACAACGAGCATGTGACTGTAAATATGCCTCGGGAGAGATGATACTATTTGGGGGGGTGGAGAGAAGAAAAGCAGATAAATGATTATACATTTATTAAATTTCTTTAGAGTTTCCTGGTAATTGTTCCTTGTACACTTTAGTGCACTCTGCCTTGCAGTGTGCTCAGTAGCAGCCTGCAGTCAGCACAAAAGGGGCAGCCGAAGAGAAAAAAAAAAAAGTATTTTTCAGTGTTGAAAATCAGTGTCCTAATCCCCTTGGGGAACAGTTCCTTGGGGCTCTATGATTTCATTGTTAAAATGTTAACATAGAATGGGGCATTAGTAGTATTCCTCCCATTTTATAATTCAATTCCCCTTCCTTCTACCCCTACTCCAATTTTTTTCTAATCTGCCATGTATATCAGGTGTTTATGCCTCTTGTTTCCTCCTTTCTGAATGTACAGATCAGCAACAGTCATGGGGGAGGGCAGAACTGACAAGGCGAAAGGATGGGAAAGGCAGGGAGATAATTTTAGTGGTGGAGATGCCGAGAACCTTTCTCCAGAGAAGACTGCAAATCCTGCCTGTCAACCAGCCCAGCACGGGCCAGTCTCACCTGCACTCCAGATGCTGAGAGACCACCTCATGCCTGGCTTAGCACCAAGTCTTCCACACAGGAGAAAGGCTGGAGGAAGAAGCACAGCTTCCTACTATCCACGGCTTTGTTCCCCATCCCAAAGCCAGAGATGTGGAGTTATCATTATCTTGACTGGTTTCTGCGGGGCTGCCTTGGCAGCAGGGCTTGATGCCAACCTCCCCACAGCCTCAAGGGCTGCTTGTTACCGCTGGGAGCCAGGTGTCCCACCAGCAAGGTCCCCATCTCATCCCTTCTCCTCCTCTTCCCGTTATGGGGGGCTGCTCGCCCCTCTTCCCCCACGCTCTCCTCCCTCTCTGTCCCCGCTGTCACATATAGGTTATACAACATTCCCTCTTTGAGCGTTATCTCCCTCTCTGTGCCAGCTGTGTCCGGGCGATGTTCCAGTCGGTGGGATGTGTCCAAGCCCCTCAGCCAAGCTGGCAGTGTCTCTGGGAAAGCCTCCTTAAGAAAGGGCAAAAATGCAAGACCAGCAGAAGAGTGAGGGTTCAAAAACCATGAAGTGAGCAACAGCAGCTTGAGCACCAAAGTCAGCGAGGCAGGACGGGGAGAAAGGAGGTGCTGGGGGTGCCAGAGCAGGGACTCCCCTGCAGCCCTCTGGAGAGGCCATGGTGGAGCTGGTGGATGTTCCCTGAAAGGAAGGCAGCCTTGGGGAGAGACCCCACGCTGGGGCAGGGGAATGGCAGGAGGAGGAAGGAGAGGTAGAGAAGAGTGGTTATGGACTGACCTCAACCCCCATTCCTCCTTCCACTGTGCTGCTGGAGGGGAGGAGGTGGAAGAGTTGGGAATGAAGATAAGCCTGGGAAGGAGGGAGGATGGGGGAAGGCAGTGTTCAAATTTTTGGTTTTGTTTCTCGCTATCAAAGTCATTTCCCCATGACAAGTCCATTTTGCTCATGATGGTAACGGGTCTTTACCTCAACCCATGAGCTTTTTCGCCTCATTTTCTCCCCGTTAAGGAGAGGGAGAGCATCAGGATGGGCATCCCACAGCTGGCCAAGGTCAGCCCACCATCCCCACTCAGGTTCTTGCCTCAGAGAGCACCCCATGACAAAGAACAAGACAATGACCTCCAAAAGAGCAGAGCCCATTGTCCCTCTGTCCTGGGTGAGATTTTGACCACTTGAAGAACCACCACCAAAAGTAGCAGCACCAGTGGTTTTACTGAATTAAGGTCTTACAAGGAGTGAGACTAACAGGTGGCAAAGTTCACTCTATTTCATACTGCACAGAGGATATAAGAGTGATTCAAACTTAACAGTACAAAAGCTTAGTGTATTATAATACAGGGTTATGCACCATATTGGTCACTTACGAAAGATCTGCAGTTGGTGAGGGTTGCTCAGCCTCAAGGAGCAACCCTGAGAGGCGTCCTAGCTCAAGGGGAAATCACCGCCATGCAGCCAGCTGCTTAGCAGGGAGAGCTCAAAGAAGGCACACTTAGGCTGTCATACTTATGGAATAAAGTGGTTGGCTAGCAGTCAAATACCTTGCGATGAAAAACGTAAGCATGAGACTCCTTATACCCACAACTTCTTTTGTTCCTTGACAAATGAGTCTTGGAAGAACCACCTGCTATTCTTACGTTAATCACATGGTCGGTGTTCCAGTTTCCAAGCTCTTATGCATCAATGGTCCCCATGCCACCCTGTTCCTGTGTGAGCTTTCAGAGAACAGGTTGGAACTAGAGAAGTTCTTGGCATGGTTATGGCTCAGGCCTTTACTGCCTTTGGAGCCTGAACCAAACTACCCCTAGTTTGGTCAAAGAGCTGGGTCCATCCATCACACCCAGCTCCAGAGGAGCCCCTGCACCTCTGGGCCAAGGGATACAGAGATGTCAGCTATTTTTGTCCCCTGTGAGTCACTACAGGAATGTGGCAGGGCCACATCTCTGTTCATTTATGGCACTTTAACCCCTGTTACCGTTTCCCTACCCCGTACTCACCCTTCTGGGACTTGCAACAGTCTCAGCCTACCAGTCTCCACAACGAGCTGCTTTCTCCTCACCTGCCTGGGACGCTCCTCAGGGTGCCAGGGAGGAAAGGGGGCACAGGCAGAGTGGGGCAATGGGGCAGCTGTGCCCAGAGGTGCAGAGGAGCAGTTGGCTGGTGCTCTTGGACCTTGACTTAAAGAGCTCTGAAGTCTCTCTTCCTACTGGGAACAGCTTGGCTCACAGTGATGGAGAAATCGGCAGGGAAAGTGCGCGGCAGCAGAGGGACAAGTGGCAACACAGGATTTCTTAGTGCCAGCCCTGGTGTTCGGAGGAAAACTGGAAGCTGTGTGCTTTGGGGCAGCTGGTGATGGTGGCTGCAGCAGAGACTATAGGACTGTATTGATGAGCACTACCAGGATTTAGGCAGCTGGGGTTGTTGGTGAGCCGGAAACTGCCCTGTGCTCTAACAGCTCTGTCCAGCCAGCTCAGAAATGGACAAAAACAGCCCATCACACACCAAAATTGCAGCCAGTCAGAGGAATACATGGCACCACTGCTCAAACTTATTTAAGAAAGACCAATTAGAGGGCAGTAGAAAACGAGGGAAACAAACTGGAGGAGACACAGCTAGAGATGCACGCTTGCAGCAAGGTGCTTGATGTCAGAGGAAGGACACCTCCAAGGTGACTGAGGCCTGTGGAGAATTCATGCCAGGGCAGGGACACTGGTGAGGAACTGCAGATGACTACCACTGGGGCAAGGACACACCTGAAGGCTTATCGGCCCTGTTCTAGATGAGCAACACAGGATCCAAAAGAATACAACATAATCCTTCACAATAGCTCAGATTGAGTTTCTATGGGAAAAGGAGGCAGGGCAAGCACTTCACTTAAGAGGAGCCTGAACTTCTCCCTCTTTACACCATTCTCTTCATTCCCCTTGGATCTTCCCTTGCTCCTACAGCTTCCCTTATTTGCTTTCTCCTCCTGTCTCCTCTTTGGACTCTTGGTTCTCTCATCTCTTTTCATGCTCCCTGCCCAACTATTCTGGACTGAACTTCCTATAATAACATTTTACCCCTAAGCTCAGTAGGGGTCCAAACCATTTCCTTGTAACCTTTTCCTAAGACCCTAATTGTCCCTCACTCTCCACTGCACAATGCCTTCCACATTCTTGCCACCTGCCAAGTCTCCTGCCCTGTCATGCATGCATACTG